ATATGTGGAACAATCGGCTATGTCTCCTTTCTTCTTCCATACTGGAATCGTTGTGCTTTTGGACCAATCGCGCGGCATCTTCTTGGATTCGATTATCCGATTGAGAAGCTGTGTTAGCCAAGTGATTCCAGCTTGTCCGCACCTCTTCCAGAATTCACTGGGAATGTCGTCTGGGCCGGTTGCTTTGCCGTTCTTCGTCTTCGCTATGGCTGCGCGAACTTCATCTTCTGTGATGTTTTCTACCGGTCCTTGTACCGTCTCAGCTACTATGGTAGATGTCTCTTCGTAACTTGTAGATGACACTTCCTCGAAGTGTGCTCGCCATCGTTCAGTTATCTCTTGTGGCCTTCTCAGAACTCTTCCTTGTTCGTCTTTGATATTGTAGAAGTGAGACATGTCTTCTGCGGCTTTTGCTCTTCTTCTTGCGATTCGGTAGATATCTCGCTCGCCTTCTCGAGTATGCAGCTTCTTGTAGAATTCTGTCATGTAAGCTTCCTTCGCTTCTCTAACGCTCTTCTTTGTTGCACGTTTTGCATCTACATATCTTTGATGGTCGTCTTCTGATCTTGTCTTCTTCCACAACTGGTACGCCATCTTCTTTTGCTTGATCACAGCTTGAACGGATTCGTTCCACCACCAGGTTTCTTTATCTAGTCTTGGTCTTCCCGGTTTCGTAAGCCCCAGTAGATTGCCTGCCATCTGATGAACGTTATTCTTCAGATTTGCCCAGGAACGCTCCGGTTCGTCTTCTAGGAGTGGTAGAGCTGATTCCATAGCAGCTTTGGATCGAGCGTCGTCTTTGAGCTTCCACCACTTGATGCGTATTCTGTCCTCCGTCATTGCCTTTCTTCGACTCTTGATTGGGATATTCAGATCTAGAATCAGTGGTCGATGTTGTGGTACACATTCTTCGCTAGGGATCACTTTGCAGTTCTTCACGTACTTGAGCTCCTTTAGTCGTACCGCCCAGAAGTCTATTTGCGATTTTCGATTTCCACTGGCATACGTTACTAGGTGATCGCTCTTCTTGATGAAGTAGGTGTTTGCCAACGCCAATTCATGAGCGGAAGCGAACTCCAGAATTCGGTTGCCTTCTTCGTTGCGGATCCCATACCCGTGATTTCCGTGACTTCTACTCGCACCACTTCGTTGTTCACCGACATGGCCGTTAAGATCTGCTCCAATCAGTAGCGTTTCTTCTGAAGGTACACATCTGATGTAGTCATCTAGTTCTTGCCAGAAGCCGTCTTTCTCTTCTACCGTGCAACCTGCTTGGGGTGCGTATGCGGTGATTACTCGGAGAACTCGCTCACCCACATCTAATGTGATGCCCATGAGCCGGTCACTGAATCGATCTACACTTGTTATACTATCTCTTAACCGTTCGGAGATGACTATTCCGACGCCGTTTCTTTTGCTGCTTGTTCCTTTATATAGAATCTTGAAGCCGTCTCCTATATCGCGTGACTTCTCACCCTTCCATCTGGTCTCCTGGATGCAGGCGATGTCTACCCTACGTCTTCCAAGAAGATCCGCCAGTTCTCGATGTCGCCCAGTAAGAGATCCGACGTTGACAGTGGCCAATCGAAGAGGAGAGAACTTGGATCGTTGATTGTTTCCATGATGAGCTAGCTTCTTCAGCCGTCCCCGCTCATCTTGTTGGGACGGTAACCCTCGCCTACTGTTCGCATCTGTCGGGCTCAAATGCGCGTCGCCTCCGGGGCGCCCTAGCTTTTACTCGAGAATCCTGATTAGACATAAAAGAGCATTGTGATGCGACGGGGTTTCTTCTTCAGCCGGCTTGTCGCTTGCTTTCCTTTGGATCAGCAGCCTGACGCTGGGATCGTGGGCAGAGCTGTTTTGCCAAAGAAATTAGGCCCGCCGCGGAACCGAACCTGTAACCTTCCTCGCCGTAGTCAAGGGCACTAACCTCTCGGCCAGCTCTGCCCTAACGTGGATATGCCATGGCGCTGCTAAACATTTTAGTAGTAGAAATTAGTGAAATCTCAGGAAGTCGAAATTTTTAACGAATGCTGTTCGCATCGAAAACCATTACCTGCACAATCCATAGGTTTTGCCGAAAACATTTCTAGCAGTGCCATAGTAGATCCTCAATATATCTTTATGACGTTTTCATCCACTTCCTGAAAGATAGACGACTTCAAAAACAGGGATCCCCTGGGATCCCCAGGGGATCACACGGAACGGTGAAAATCTCAGGTGGCAAAGCAAGCAAGCTTTCAAGCATACTCACTTTGCATACAAACATCACATTAAATTCAATGGTGACTGAAGTCATGAATGAGGCAAAAATCGGATCTTAGCGCCAGAAACTGCTCGGGCCTCCCTTAATATGCCCATATATAATCTATTAAACATCATAAACGTTGTCGTTCTTCTTTCGCTAGAAATGTGAAAACGAAAACTTTCTAGCTTCGGCAGCATTCCTGAACACCTGCCACAGTGTATTTGCACATAACGAGCATTTGGAGTATACAACAGAATCCTATGCTTGTAGGACTAGTGACTCACAATCAAATAACAAAGCATTAGGAACGAGAAAGCGACATTCTCATCGTTCTGCATGATTTGGTATCTGTTTTTGTTGCAGAATCATAGCAAGAACTTTTACGATATTCTTGAATATGCTCTGTATGATAAGCAAGTGATAGGCACGTAAGATCCTTTGGGATTGACAAGGAAGCATGTTTAATCGAAGTAATCTTCTTAGAAGGGATGCATACGTTGTTGAAGAGCATAAAAGCCTAATTCCAAATCCGCCTTCCTTATCTGTGGAACGTTTGTGAGCGAGGAGTTATAAGCGCTAATTGGAGCAAAAATCGAATGAGCATCAGAATCAGCATACATACCTGTATGTATGTATTAGGCTGTCCCAAAAGTAAACTCCATTTTCAAATAAATTGAGTATTCTTGTTCTCCTAACGGACTTACGCTATCATTCGATAGAGCGGAGCAAGCTCTACAAAAAGGCCACCAAAGATCCACCTAAGTAGTGATCCTACAATGACATGTGTGGGAAGGGCTGGGGGCGGAGTTTGCTGTTTTTGGACAATTTTTGTTTCTCGCTTTCTATGCTTGGAAAAAACTCGGTAAAGGCATATTTGAGTACTACTATGTGCCTGCTACATAATGACAGAGTTGGAGTTCTGAAGGATTCTTTATCACAGAAATCCCATTTTCAGGTGACAAAATTTTTTCCGATTTTGGCTTCAAACTTTCCTCGGCGGCTTAGGTGGATCCTTGGCAGTTATTTTGTAGAGCTTGATCTGCTCTATTGAATGATACCCAAAGTTCACTGGGAAAACAAAAAAGCTTGAATTATTTGGAAAGGGAATTTACTTTTAGGACAACCAAATATGTCTGTCTGTCAATATGTATGTTCCTAATCGAAAATTTCGTTTCGAGCCGCTCCGGACCAAACTTTGCACAGACATACTTTGGGGCGGGGTTGTTTTTCGTTATCGATCGATGTCGATTTTATCGATTTTCTGCAGACTTTGAGAACGGGCTGGGAGCTTCGCAGGGGGGGGGGACCATGTTGATCACGAATACAATATTAGTTCTTTGGATTGTGAGTCGCTTTTATCGATTCTATCGATTTTTTGCAAACATTGACCTACAGGGCTGGGAGTTGGTGCAGGGGTGTAAGTGAGCCTGCTGATTACGAATTCAACAGTAGTTTTTTGTTGGTCAGTTTAACTATATATAAAGCTGAATGTGTGTCTGTCTGTCTGTCTGCCTGTCTAGAAATTTTTATTTCTGAACCGATTTGGACCAAACTTGGCACACATATACTTCGTCGCAGGGAGCGTGTCATAGACTATTTCTCGTTGTCGATCGATATCGATTTTATCGATTTTTATCGATTTTTTGCGTAGTATAGCCTACGAGGCTGGGAGTTGGCAAAGGTGGGTAAGTAAGGGTGCTGGTTACGGATACAATATTGGTTTCTGGAAATATCGATTTTTTTATTGATTTTAAAGTTTGAGCTACAGGGCTGGGAGTTGCCACAGGGGGTAATCGAGCGTGGCGATTCCGAATACAACATTGGTTTTTGGTATTACCTATTACTTTTATCGGTTTTATCGATTTTTTTTCAAAATTTGAGCTGGAGTTGGCACAGGGTGGTAAGTGGGCATGGTGATTTTGAAAACAACACAGGGAACGAGAAATGGAGTGTAGAAGTGGGCACAGGGAAAGGCTGTACAGGGATAGGGATGGGACCTTTATTACAGTGTTTTGACAGGGCCGAGCGGAGCCGGGTAAGCAAGCTAGTGAAAACATAATGGGGAGTGGGGTCAGGGGCAGGGAAATGACAATTATCATGATGTATTGACAGGGCCGGGCGGAGCCGGGTATGCCAGCTAGTTTAGGATAAAATGAGTTCCCAAAATCCCCTGGCCATCAAATAACGCAATCAAGTATGATATATTTTCCGTCTTAGAATACCTGTATCTGTTACCTGTACCTGTACCTGGTATCTGTTTTGGTGCTCTGATGATTCACTGCTCCATTTCAAAGCTAGGAAAAATATTACAGATATTGTTGTGCTACTTGCACATTCAATTTTTTGCTACAATAAACGCTCATATCCTCGTACATAAACGTTTCGCAGATAAGGAAGGCAGATTTGGAATCAGAGTCTTTCACCGACCAAAAATGCTTTCCTTGGGCGATCTATTTTGCCATGATCAAATGCTTCTGCATTCTCAGACTTTACATGTATCAAGATCTATACACGTGTTTCTGATCTATCTTATAGAGCTTGCCCTACTCTATCGAACTAACCCAAGGTTAACCAAAAATGAAAATAGATTCTGCTCGCATAGGGATGAACCATCAAACAGATTTGTACGTTCGCTGTACAACGTTTTGTAATAAGCCCAGTTTTCATTCTTGCACTGCATATACGGTTTTCGACTATGCTTTTATGTGAAGCTAACAGTTTTTTGAAATTTTTTTAGCGAAGCCTTCAAGATATGATTACAATATTCCCTTTGCTTTTTGCGTCAAAAGCGAAGTCCAGTTCGACTCGCGTTCCGTGCTGGGCCCTGCTTGTGCTCTTCATATCACTTTGGTTTGACGTTCTTTCTCACGTGAACTATAGTTCTCAACGTGCTTGCACCAAACATGATTTCAGGCAGCGAAAGTTGACATAGTGGATCCGCTGGACAGCAGACCTATCGGAAACACTTTATGGACAGGATATCAACTACAAGGTTTCATTCACTAGCATGATAGTCAAAGTCATATAATCATCGTTTCTATAGATGAGATCTTTGAACAGCGGTGGTTTCGGAGCTGTCGTACTACTAGGGATCGAAGAAGGTCGTCGAACATGTGCCAACGGCTTGCCAGTAATATCATCAACCATACGAATGCTTGGCCGCTTTGAAAAGATCAAGAGGATCGAGCATTTGTCATTATGTGCTTATGTTGAAATAGTGCGTTGCACCTTAGGTAAGCATCACTTTACTATCAACGCTTCATCCTTGTAGAGAGAATTCAACGGCGAGCCCTAACTACTGCAATTGCACTACCACCCTGGGCGTGCCTTTTTGGAGCCTTTCCACCTCTAAGTTGAGGACATTAGGTCGCCGATGGGCTACACCCCCGCGAACAACTGGTACGAGCTAGTAATGTATAAAGGCGGGCGGTTTGTTGCATACCACGCAGGACCTTCCCTTTCGACGACTTGTGGCAGTACTCATCAACAAACCCATGGGTTTGGGTTCCTGAATTGGGGGTAGGCTCAACTCCACGAAACTAGTGGATTCCGGAACCAGTGGGTTAGGCTTACCCAGTGGGTTTTGGAACTCACAAAAAGCTAAGCGGTATTCACGAACGAACACAGTGAGCGGTATTCACGAAACAAGCTACCCAGTTCTTGCGCGTTCGAGCACTGGGTTCGCGAACCGAAGCGTGGTGCCAATTTCGCTTGCTTGCAAGCGAACCCAGTTCCTTAACTATAAGCAACACTATGCACTAGAAACACTTTTGATACCTATTTAGACTTTCAGAAAAGGTTTGTTGCAGATAGACTCAAGAATAATACTTTTACGGAGAGGGCAAACCAGATTGATGCAAATTACGACTTGGCAATCTCAGAAAAGTCACAAACAAATTTCCAAAAAGTTTCTTAGCGTCCATTTATAAAAGCTTATGCACCTTTCAATGTTTGCTAAAGCTACCTCAGAGTTTTGCGGACGCCTTTGCTACAGACAAAATCTTTGTGTCTATGTATCTGGCATGCTCGTATGCTCCGCGGATCGATAGAAATTTTTTTGATCCAATAAAATCAGTAGATAGCCGCTTTGGAGAATAATGTGAGTTAGAAAAGGAATTTGGTCAGAATTTCTGGTTGTTCTCAACAGAATGAAACATGACAGTGAGCAGAAGGGAAATAGTGACTGTGGTAGTCACAAACTTGTATACATCAAAGATACAGAAGTGTCTTCATTTATAATCCCTTGCACATTTCAAGCTACTAAAAACCCTCTCCCCTACCATAAGGGCGTCCCCGTACAGAAAATCCAAAAATGGGTATCTAGTTTAGATAGTTTTGATAACCGCCCTTCTACTTGCAATCGCCAAAATCGCTTTACCCCCTGCCTCAACCGAGTTTCGACACTCGTACACTCATTTGCAGTATTGTAATAATCCCATAATAGCATCAACTGCAACTTGTAGCAAAGTTTGCCCGAAATGCTACGTTGCAAAAGATTGTTGCACAAAAGACATTGCTTGATGTCCATTCTTCCGTTCAGTGAATCTCCGAGAACGTATCAGGCTGCTGGCGCTGTACTCCCAATCATAGCCATGATTAACACCACTGCAGCTATGAAGAAACCTCATTCCTTCTACTAACTTTGCCCGTGGCGGTGGTTTTACATACAGATGAGAACGAGTAATTGCTTAAAATGAATCAAGAAGAAAAAACGATGTGAACTGCTTGATCAACATACAGTCTGCTCCAATCGGGATCAGGCCTAACCGTCGGCGTAAATTTGCGCGCTCGCAGCGTTAACGGTCTGTGCTGCATATGCGCGCTGTCGGAGAGAGCATAAGGATTGAAGAGAGAGCAGAGAAGCAGGCCGTGGGCGTGACCGCGAAACCCTAGCGACGCGGAATCCCGCCATGTCAATTTTGGCTTGGTTAGGATTGGGGCAGACTGTAAGAAGTTGACGGATAGAGTTGCTGATAGCTTCAAATTCCTCGCGCGTTGTAGGTGCTGTAAAGTTGCTGGGGCTCCAAAAAGGCACGCTCGCGGTGGTGTGATTGCACAAGTCGGAAAGGTCGCCATTGGGTATCTTTCATTGAACTCTATCAGAATGTTTGTCCCAGCTGACAGACTGTTACGCTATGACAGACTTGCCTGCGCAGGGGTAGCGGGTTTCATGAGAGACTAGCTGGCAAACGCGGCTCCGCCAGGCCCTGCCAATAATATTCTCGTAGTCAGCATGCTCACCTAGCCCTCTATGCCAACTCCCAGCACCGTAGCTCAAACTTTGCAAAAAATCGATATCGATCGATAGCGAAAAGTAGCCGACGACAACCGCCGCGCCCCGAAGTGTATGTGTGCAGTTGGTCCGGATCGGTTCAGAAATAAAATTTTCTATTTGGAGCATACGTGCAGACATACAGACATACAGGGTGTCCCAAAAAAATGTGCCTACTGTTTGATTGTAAATAACTCTCTTGTAATGAAGTGCTTCGAGAAGCTTCAGGTACCGTATTGTAGAGCGAGGCTGAACTTAGATTTACAGTATGGAGCGAATCATCGATCGCTCTTCATTACTGTAGGGCTACGGTAAGAACTTCCAGCATATGGAACCATTGTGAAATATACCACCAAACAAAATTTTTTTCAAAAAATCTGAAAAATCGTGTACTAGGGTTTTCGCGCATGCTGATTCCACTTAACAACTTTTTACGAGTGTTTTCAGCCTTTTTGAGGGTGTAATTACCTTTCTGACAAATGCCGGGAATTGATTTACTACGATTTAGTGGAAATAACTTAGGAAAGAAGCATCATAGTAAAATGAGAATTTCAAATTCGAAACCAGCGGCTCCCTTTACCGTAGTGTAAGAGTTTCCGGCTTGTTTGGTCTTGTTCCGAGGCAAAACATAGCCTCCAATGACCTAAAATCCTTGTCGAAGTTCGTACCGTAATCCTACAGTAATAAAGGGCGACAGATGATTCGCTTTCATACTGTAAATCTAAGTTTAAGCTCGCTCTACAAAACGGTACCTAAAGCTTCTCGAAACACTTCATTACAAAAGAGTTATTGACAATCAAACAGTAGGCACATTTTTTTGGGACACCCAGTATAGGCTGCTATATGATGAAGGCGCAATATCTTTGGGCGCAAACGGTTTAATTAGCCGCAAAGCGCATGAGGCGCAGGATTTACGACGGTAAAGATACGCGCGCGCAGCGTTCGCGCGCGCTCAACTAATACTTCTTCTGCATCTTCGTCATGCAGCAGCCTTTCCAGACATTCAGCTTATCTATAAGATAGCACGCGCTTAGACAGACTTGCGTCAACAAGGTACGCACCGCTAGCCAAGCCTGTCGCTGAATAGACGCTGCACCACGGGTCTGTAATGGCTCATGGCCCTGTTTATTAGCCTATTAGAACACGCTCGATAATCTTGTACGAAGCTGGATGAGCTTGACTGTTAGCGAAATGTTGTGCTTTCTAGAGCACAACTTTCGCTAGAAATAAAAGCGCCTGTACAACTTTATCAGATCTTCTTCATACTTTCTTTTTTTGCAAGCCGCTTCTCGTGCTGGATAAGGGCGCAGAATTAGGCGCTGGCATAATTTGCTTTTGCAACGTCGTTGTGTAGAAACCAATGTTTATTTATTTGTTTATTTATTTACTTATTTATTTATTCATTCATTCAGTACGCTCTTGGCGTTCCTTACAAGAGCAAAAAATACACAGTTATTCATACTCTATCCGCAACGATGATGCATCATTTGATATCTGGGGCCATTGAAAACTTCTAATTTGACCTCGTTTGTTCAAGCGATGTAACGTCTGGTTATCTTGTTGGCAGCAGCAGAAATTTTAGTCTGGCGGAGCCCTAACACCAAGGAGGGATTCGTGTATAGCTTTCCCTGTGCCCATTTCTACGTGCCAATTCCCTATCTACGTTTTGATTTCGAAATCATCATGCTCACTTACCCCCCCCCCCCCTGTGCCAATTCCCCCCGTAGCTCGAACTTCGCAAAAAACCGTTGAAGGTGATAGAAGTAATCGATAATACTAGAAACTAACTTTGTATTAGTAATCAGCATGCTCCCCCCTCCCCCCCCCCCTCCCCCTCCCTACCCTGTGCAAAGCTCACTGCCGTGTAGGTCAAAATTTGCAGAGAAAAAGTGATAAAAGTAGATAAAATCGATGTCGATTGAGGACGAAAAGTAGCCTACAACATGCGCCCGCCCCAAACTGTATGTGTGCCATATTTGGTCCGGATCGGTTCAGAAATGGAATTTTCTATTCAACCGTTCACACAGACACACAGACACACACATCTTCAGCTCTGTAAGCTCCCATGCCCGTACCTCAAATTTTGCAAAAAATCGATAACCGATGAAGGCAAGTAATAATTTCGAAATATTATATTGGATTTGTAATATTATTATTCCAATAATATTCGAATAGTCGAATATTTTGAATAAATTATTCGAATACGAATATTCGATTCTAACTACAATACGCTACATGGATTAACCCCCCTCCCTTTTGCCTCCGTTGTAACCTCGACCACTGTTTTTGCACCTTCCATGCGAGTCGCGCTTGCAGAAGCGCGCTGTAGGACCTCATCAACCCCTTATTTTTCAGTTCCCAATGCTGTGATACTGGTTTCTGAACATCATGAAATGTCACTTTCTTCGCTTTTGAAGAACAGAAGGTATTTACAGAAAGCTCTCAGTATATTTAAGGAATTCACCTTTCTAGCTTGAATGGCGAGGAAATACTACGTGCGACTTGCCAACTCGTTGAGGGTATCGCTGCTCTTCATGAGGAAGGAGTTTGCATCGGGTCACTCAGCTCAGATACTATCCTCATAGCTGGCAACGACAGTGGCTCACTACGCATGCGGATCACTCAGTACCCCATAAGGTGGATTTTTCCGCCCTTTTTTGTGGTGTTCACATCTCTTTTTAGCTACATCTCGAGAAGTGGCATGGATCTGCAAGGAGGGTTGCCACTCAGCTTCTCTGTAGCTCCCGAGCAACTCTTACACGGCTCGACCATCCATAGTACGACTTTCAAAGCGGATATCTGGAGTCTTGGCATAGTGTTGCTGGAAATGGCCACGGTATGTGGTTCATGAGCGGGGTCAAGCGTGGGGAATGGCATGCCACCTGGAGGGTCGTGCAGGGTCAGAGATGGGAGGGGGTCGTTATGGCGGCGTTGCAGGAGTTCCCAAAGCCTAGCCGCTTTTCCTCGCAGGGGTACTTGGCACCTCCAGAAATCCCTTAAAGGACATCACACCTCGGGGCCAAAGAGCGGCTCCGCCCATCACTCTTCCCTCTAGGTGCCCTCATTCTAAATTGTGTACACGCACTGTAAGACATGCTTTATTGTATATGAGGATAATAGAACTGGAATCGAGAAACAAAAAAAAATTCTAGGTTTCAAAAGGTTCGGAATCCGCAGGTGAACTGCAGCATTTGGAGTTATGTTTTACTCATGTTTTCGGAAGATTGACGCTTCCTTAAACTTTTAAGTGCTCGCGCCTGACTAAGTTTGTGAAGCATATCGCATCAGTGTAAATTAAGCAGAAGTTATGAGTCTTCCAATCACGGTATATAACAGAGAAGTTAGTTTATTTTACGCAGGTTCTGAAATCATCTAAGAATATAGCGAATTACCATATCTTGCAAATTCAGTGTCGTATTTGGAACTCTTAGTCAACTGCGATCATGCGAGGAAGTTTGTTAATCTAATAGATCGATTGTAGGAAATACAAAATTTCTTTATGTTAATTTGGGCCTTACTGATGATCGGAATGAAAAACTCTTCTATATAGAGGCAGACGATAAAAAAGTATGTGTTTAGACATCCTATCTGTTGGATAAAACAAGTTGAGCTGTAATGGACGAATGAAGTAATTGGATGAGTACCTGGATAATACGTCAAATATCCATTTGATGCGGTGTCCAAAAACATTTCGAAGTTTTGAACGCTTGCAAGAATCCATTCGACTTCGTTGGTTTATGAACATGTTCGATTATTCACTATGCACGGTCTGTGTCAATCCCTATCAGGCCAAAAATAAATAAAATTAAATACTAAAGAAATGATGACGGTGTCCATGTTGCGACGGTTTTGGTCACATTTACGACTAGCTTGTCTGTCTCTCCCATACCTTCGATAGTCTAGAGACAGGGCGCCAATAGTGAAGGTTGCTTGAACATCTGACGTCTTAAATAGCGAAGGTTGTTTAAAAAAGATCAGAGAATAGAAAATGACGTGAAACAGATATAAAAGGCAAAAGGAACCGCTGTAAAGGGATAAAAACGCTGCAATAAGTTTTGAAATCTTTCCTTTGGCGGTTTTTCAGAGTGCAAGTTTTCGCTCCAGGACCAGCAATTCGCAACACGGGGTTTTGATTTTTGATGCGTCCTTTGAATTTTTACCCCCGCATTGACGTTCCTGTTTCTGGGACGTTGTCTGGATTGTTGCGCTTATTGTTCTGAGCAACAATCGCCCAAGCTGGAAAAAAATCGATGCGAAAGCACTGAAACAGAACAAGGTAGAGAAAAACGCACTTTTTTACGCTTTTCGCAAAAAATTTCACCATAATCGAAGAGGTAAGGGCTGGGTGGTTGTCAGCATTATGAACAGAAGCAAGATCTAGAGAATGCACGAAAAAACCGCGTGAAAAGAGTTGAACTAGGAGAAAAACAAGAAGTTTTCGAAAACAAGGTTTTTGCCGGATTTCCCGATCAAATCAAAAAATGTGGTTCTGGGACGTTGTCAGCGTGAATATAGAGATCAAGAGCTTCAAAATGATATATAGCCTGCAAAGTTTGGGTTCGAAACAGCGAAGAAAAGGGTACCAGAGCCAAATGCCCCGCGCCCCGCATTTGGGGTAGCGAGGTAGCGCGCAGCACGCGGAGGCGCAGACGAGCAGCGGAGACAGACCAGAGCCGACGGGGCATTTGGCTCTGGTTGTAGATCTCAGCGGGGTCTCAACGAAACCTGCAACATCATATATCATTCTGATCGTCATGACACGACGAGGAGAACTGACAACGTCCCAAGCTTTGAAAATTACTCTTTAACGAGATACCAGCGTATTGATGCGCGAATCTCTGCGCAAGAATTAAGCGCAGTTTCTCGTTTTTGTTCAACTCCAATAGCTTTCCTAAACTTTTGAAACTCTATTTCGGTCAAATAAGAGGTTAGCTGAGAAATTTCGTCCTAGATTCTGGCGAAAATTTCACAGAAACCTTCTTTTTAACGTATAAAAGGCTATGAAGACGCAAATTTTCGGTTTCGCTGAAGTAAGCTAGAGATATTATCCCCTATATTTGCTTCATTAACATACGTTCCGATATAGTCAGGATAATAACATCCAAGGCGAAGCCCCGGATGGCTTCTGTTTTTTTTCAGGTGAAGGTTGTGTCCCCTCATAGCCCTCAAAGTGAAGGTTACCAGAGTACGTGGCTCTATGTATCGAGGGTATGGTCTCTCCCAAAAGGCAGCGTCCAGCGAAATCTGGACCTATGGGGATTTTACGTGGAAAGTAATTTTGAGCTCTAAGGCACAGCCCAAGCGGTAGCGAAAATGACTCACTAACGGCTGAGATCAGAGGTGCGATGGAGGGAGCCGGGCCCACCAAAAGTGAAGGTGGTTCCAGCTACCAGTGGCCGGCTAAAAGTGAAGGTGGTAGTGCCGGACACTCACCTGCCAAGAACGTCGACCGGGGGGGGGGGGGGGGGAGCAAAGCATTAACGTCTATCCTTCCAGGTCGTTGCCGCCAGTGCGCGGAAAATAGGCAAAACAAATGCAAAAGGGATCATTAAAAGCATATTTTTTGCATACAGCGTCATATATCAAATAGTGTATTTGGAAGTAAATCTCAGCGGAACTGTACGTATATAACAGCGAAGAAAGTAGATCGATCCAGGCAGTAACGGCCGAGAACCAGAATTTAGAATGATAAAATAATGAAAAATCGTGAAAAATCATTCCACTGTTACAAATCTGCTGGCTGAAGACCTACGCAGTTGCGACTTCATAGGTTTAAAAGGGCAAGTATTGTTCTACTAGATAGTGAAAGAACTAGGTCGATTTGAGCAGTGAGCGCCGAGAACGAGAATTTTCAAAAAATTGGGCGATTTTAGGTTACTTGATGACAGTTGACATTTAGATTCCTACAACCTAAAATACTGGAATGTGAAAGTGTGCAATGTTGCGACTTTATAGGTTTTGAAGGGTAAGTGTTGTTCTACCAGACAGTGAAAGAATCAGTTTGATTTGAGGAGTGGCCGCCGAGAACTTTAGGTTGCTTAATGACAACTGACATTTAAACTCTTATAAATCCGGACTTTGAAGGTGTGTGATGTTGCGACTTCATAGGTTTTGTAGGGTGAGGTTTGCCCTATCAGAACATGTCCCAGCTGTACCGTTCCACTGAAACATCGCCGAGATACAGGCTCTTAAAAAGCAGGTAAAAAGCCGTTTTTCAGCTCATAACTTCTTCAGAATTGCATAATTCATGTTGCGACTTCATAGGTTAGATTTTCCTCATCAAGAGCTTTCAAATGATATATAATATGTGGGGGATTCACGCCTCCCACGGCATATGCCCGGGGGTGGAGTACCTCTCTTCACTAATTCTCCAGTGGCGGCCCTCCCGCCAACACATTAAAATGGGCGGGGTGGAGAATTAGTGAAGAGTAGTACTCCACCCCGGGTTAGAATCGCAAGAAACATTGAATCCCCCACATAATATATATCATCTAAAAGGTCTTGAAGAGGAGAATCTAACCTATGAAGTCGCAACATGATTCATGCAGTTCTAAAGAAGTTATGAGCTGAAAAACGGCTTTTTACCTGCTTTTTTAAGAGCCTGTATCTCGGCGATGTTTCAGTGGAACGGTACAGCTGGGACATATTCTGATAGGGCAAACCTCACCCTACAAAACCTATGAAGTCGCAACATCGCACACCTTCAAAGTCCGGATTTATAAGAGTTCAAATGTCAGTTGTCATTAAGCAACCTAAAATTGAGAAGATTTTAGAGTTTTTTCAAAATTCTCGTTCTCGGCGGCCACTCCTCAAATCAAACTGATTCTTTCACTATCTGGTAGAACAACACTTACCCTTCAAAACCTATGAAGTCGCAACTGCGGAGGTCTTCAGCCAGCAGATTTGTAACACTGGAATAATTTTTCACGATTTTTCATTATTTTATCATTCGAAATTCTGGTTCTCGGCGGTTACTGCCTGGATCGACCTACTACATAGATATATGCTCTTAAAACTTTCTTTTACACTCCTTTTGCTTATTTTCCTTCTTTTGAGCTTTAGCAAAAAAAATTTTTCAAACCCAAAAGTGAAGGTGGTCACCCTGTACCAGCTCAAAAGTGAAGGTAGGCGGAGAATCGGCTCGACTATCGCACCTCTGGCTGAGATACACGCCTCCAAACTGTATCACAGGATCCTATTATTGAAGACTTGCTGCATGCTTTCGTACGAGGACTAACGCGAAACAGATGTGTCGCGCCATGAATCCATGCGAAATACGATCGTAGGGTCCAGTTTGGAGGCGAGTATTCCAGCCGTTAGAACACCATCTGAGCTGCCATTTGGGAGGTGTCTTAGTTAGGGTACTAAAATTACTGTACACGTGAGATCCTCATATGTCCAGATTTGCGTGGACGCTGCCTTCAAAGGCACTGTCAGATAGAGTTTCACATCTGGACTTTTGGACACTTTTGACTGTTCTCGGCCTGCTGAATCCTAACTTGCCCCTCAAACCATCCAAAAATTGCAAAAATCCCTTTTTTGAGGGTCCCTACGGAAGAGCGATGTACGAGACGCGCTTTGATACAGCTATAGAAAACCGCGGATGGGCGGGATTCCACCGACGGGAGGCAAGATTAGAGTACCGTCCCTTTTCAGAGACTTGTACGAAGCAATTTTCCCGCTTCAGAATCCACCTTTTTCGATAGGACTTGAACTTTTGGGTTTGTCAGGAGCTGCGTTCTCGTACTGCGTCAAGATCCTACCACCCCCTAGTGGACCTGAACAATGCTTTTAATCTCTTCGTTCTCTCAGACTGCGCCGCCCTAGTGCTATGAGCGCACATAGTCTACACCAGGTTCGGACTGATTCCGATTGGGACAGACTATACTGCGTATGCGAAGTCCACCGGTTCCACTGTCTGAGATACTATTGTTGGGAACATGTGAACAAGCTTTCGTTTATCTCATTCAACCGATTGTTTGATCAGGGTGTCTTGCTCCGGGAAATATGGTCGTTGAAGCAGTATATGACTATCTTGAAATGCAGTATGAACAGAGGTACATCTTGTTATTTTCCCTTCTCCCTGTGAACTTGGATGAGTTTAGCTGAGAGGAACTCTCTTCTCGGTCCAGTTTTCAAAGCACTGCAGTCTGCCTCCGGCAGAGTCGTGGACTTCACCAGACTCGACGGAAACGTGGTGCTTCTCATTGAACAATGCCTCTCGCTATTGCCATCGCAACGTCCGACGTTGCGCGAACTACTATCAAGGGCTCGTAAGGATACTGCAAAGGACTTGGTGTACTTCGAATCTGCAGAGATGTTGAGCAGTCAGTTTTCGCTTAAATAGACTATAGCAGCACGGCACGTCAGTAGCCATAATATTAAGGGAAAATCAAATCATGCGACGATAGAAACTGGGTGCTGCGAGAATTGGGACTCGAAGACGCTTTTTTCCTATGGAGGCTATGCGGCTCGTCTGCCGAAGCAATTCTCGTCAAAAATTGTGTCATAACTCTGAGACATCCCGTGCTCACCAACCCGAGGTAGGCCTTTTTAGCAGATCTCTGAAGCTGCTTTCTCGCTGCAAACGCAGCCTCGAATGCAGCATTACATATAGCACTTTATAAATATTGGTCTAAATTCCGATTCTAGCACTGTAGTGGAAGACCTTCGCATGTTTGGGAATGACGAGGGTCGCCGATTCCATGTTGCATCTGGCGTAGTGATGCTTCCGGACAAGAATGTGTGTGAGGTAGGATCCACGCAGAGATCTATTCCGATTGCTGGATCCCGTTTTAGAAAATAGCTTCGGCTTCATCGATGGATATTTTTTTGCAATCGTTTCTTATATCGCAGCGTCTTCGAAACTCAGAGGAGAAATTGTCAGTCATCGTGAAGGAAAAGGATATGGTATATCAGGTCAGCCTGTGAAAAACCACTTTGCCGATTTCCATAGCGTGTCGTTTTTAGGCATCCAGGATGCGACTCATAAGTCACTTGTTGAATTCGCGCTTCTGCAGATTGAACGATCTTCTGTCAGCTGTGGCTTCGGACATTCCGCCAATGCGAAGAGCAAATGGTTGGTTAAAGGCATCGTCCACCCCAAGTTATGGGTCTTTACCTTTTGGCAGTCTTCAGTAGTTGGGCCTCCTATCAAGCTAGGGCCCAAGTTGCGGCGCAAAATGTCGTTTCGGAGACGAATATCGCTTCCGAATAACGAAGAGAGCACAGGACCTTTGGGTGGCAATGCCCCCTCCACTAACGGCCGCTCGTACGTGGTCGTCCATCCAACCCCGTCCGGAGAACTTATCCGCGGGGTTACCCGGTACGAGCATTGTCGGGATCTTCGCGGAGGCAGACTTCACATCCGGAATCAGGGACATGAGAAGGCCCGGAACGACAATAATAGGGAAGTGGAGAATTTGAGTGGACGGTGCCTTCAAGAGATTGACTAAGTCTGCATCATAAATAATAAAGACATCTTTTTGTACTACTGGAAGGCATGTGCAGGCAAATCTGAGCACCCGAGTTTCTTGAGAGCTTTTCATTATACGGCGGATGGGGCGCACCTGAGTTACTCGCGTGACAAATGTTTGGAGGGCTTGTTAGCGGTGGCTCAACAAGACTAAAATTTCTGTGTTATCAATGTAATTGTTCACAGTCCCCCTCCCCCTTAAAGGCAGTGTCCGGGCAAGATGGGGGTTTTGGGATTTCAGTGCCATGCGAGAGTGGCCCCCCTCGGACACAACATCGCGCAAGTCCGACGTCATAACGCTCGACTTAAAGCAAGAAAAACGACTGGAAAAACTTATGCCTTGGGCGGGGTCCTCCGAGCTGTCTGAATTCCTGCTATGGGGCAGAGTACGCTTGCCGCCACAGTTAAAATGTAGGGTCCCGCAGCTACTCTGCGTCTCTGCCTTGGTGGAGACCGCCGAATTTCAAATTGTGCGGCTTTGGAAAACGTATGTCGCCGTTTTCGCGCCTCCTAATGTGGATTTTCGGATTCAGCGTTGCGGATAACCCCCGGTGGATTTTCTAGAAACCGAGTTATTGCCCGGACACTGCCTTTAAACTAAGCGCCAGAACAAGTCCGCCCTTCTAACAGGAAAAGGATACTTGGGACTGCGGCTGTTCGTAATTCGGATGTATCACTAGATGCGTCTTGAAACGCTGATTACAAAATTGCTTTTGCTATGTGCTAAGCGATTGTCTGAAATAAGTTAGGAACTTTTTCCGCACAATTTTTGCACAGCAAGCAGGCCAGAATTATTAATGTCTGATTTTTTGAGGATGAACGCAACTGTGGGTTATCTTAACTCAAAAAATTGCGCTTCTCTTCAGATTTCGTTCCGAGGAGCGAATTAAAAAGATTGAGCGGTATTCATAGTATTGCTTGACTGAAGCAGCGCGCTTGTGGAAAAAACGTTCATTACTTACTTTAGACAATAGCTTAGCGGACAGCTAAAGCAGATTTGAAAAGAGCGTCAAGACGCATCTAGTGATAGATGCTTTGTTACAAAAGGCCACGTTCACCAAGTAACCTTCCCTCGTAAGGGTGTCTTCATACCGCGCCGGTAGCCGCCGCTAGCAGCCCGTAGCAGCCCGTAGCAGCCACCAGCAGCCAGGATTAAGCGTGGGGTGTCGCATGCCACACTGGGGAGTCGTATTGAGGGGTCGGGGAGGGGGGGGGGGGGAATCGTTATCGAAGTGAGCTGATGTTAGCGATAACATGATATTCGTTAACAATGTTAGATAGACACTGTGTAAAGTATTAGGGTGATCGGTAAAAAATGGAGCACCTACAGGATAAATGTGGATTTCTCGAAAAAGAAAAAATGATTAAACATCCCAATTTTGATAGATGTTAGAATAAATTATTCTTTCAGAAAATACCTATATAAGGTCACTTACATACCTAATAATTTTTATAGTGTCTGAAATGCAAAGTTAGTCACTTTGACAAATTATAAACTTCGGGCAGTATCTGCGCAGTGAAAATGCGAAATCATCCAAAGTACCACTGCTGCAATGAGTGAAGGTACAGTCACCGAACCCACTGTGGCTTGCTGGCCTAAACTTTCGAATTCAGGAGATATGGCCATTAGCAGCTTTGAGAACAAAGATACGTGCTATTCAATGCTTTGCAGGTGAATGCACGTTTTATAGGTACCATATGGAAGAGCTTTTTACGCTCTATCCATCCATATGCAGCTTGCCTCACATTTTATTTATCTTCGGAAAATACAGATTGACACTTGATTTATTGGTTTTTGTTGCGCCAAAAAATCGCGATTTTTCAGGTATTTCGCTTTTTTTACCCAGAAATAGAAAGAAATCCTGTATGTTTAATATATTTTTGAAAGAGCATGAAGATCTCTTTCGAATGGTATATCAATTGCTCCATAACTTTACGGTATGACAGCACAAGAATGAGCGATGTTCAAAAAACCCTGTTCGAGTTCTACAGGGCGCCACGCGTAGGGTTGTGGGAGAGGAGTGTTGACGCTTTGCCAGAATAATAGGCGAAGGTCGCTTATATAAGTGACGTTTACGTTGCAGCCTGCTTGTTGTTGATCGAAAAAATCTCAAAATTTAATAAAAATCAAGCTGCCCCATTTTTTACCGATCACCCTATACTAGCACACTGATGTTTTGGCCTACCATCGTATAAGTACAGTAAGCGTATCATATTCATAACTAGAATGTCAAATAGCCCTTGTGGATCAAGTTTCAGCAAGTTCTGAAGTTTCCAAATATTGGGCCATCCAAGTGAATAGTCATCAAACATGTTACCTTCGTTTCAGAGGTGAGTTAACTACTTCTTTTTGCACTTAATACAAAGAACTGCAAATGCTTTGCCCACATTAGGAATCCCACTTCGAATGACGTGCAAACTATGGAATTACGAGCAAGCCAAATCTCATTTGTTCCATTTTCCGCTTTTAATATCTCAGATTAGAGAGGACCAGCCAGGCTCATATCACTTTTATGTAAATTATGAAGCTTAGACTATCAAATATATTTATCCTTGTCGCCTTCTCTCACTATTTACATAGTAGCGCAGACTAGGCATGTTACCGTAACCCAATATTCTCGCAGCATTTTCCAATTGCATAGGTAAAAACGACTACATCTTTTTCTAGAAGACACGATTCTAAATGATTTTTCTACTGTGTGAAGAAGAAGGTTGAGCAATCGCAACTATATAAAAAACGTAGATATTCTTGAAGATAAGTCAATAGGGTGTGCCGCACCCCTTTAACTTACCTTCAAAGAGGATTTTAGGAAACAAATTAGGTACATTTCGATAGCAAAGATCTCATAGTTTTTGTAGAACTGATTAGACCTGAATTCGTTTTCTTTCGTTTGAGCAATACTTGCTGGAATCACAACACTGCAAGCGAAAAATGGGGCAAACAAGAATTTGGCTGGCTCGTAATTCCATAGTTTGATGCTTATTTGAACCAGAATCTATGGTATAGGCTAACTGGGAGTTGTGCTTGGTATTGAGTACAAGAAGAGGTAGCTAATTCGCTTTTGAAGTAAGTTAAATGGCCACTTCACTTGGGTGGCGCAATTTTGGAAGACCCCAGAATTCGCTAAAACGTGGCCCACAGGGATTTTCCGACATGATAATCTTATATATAAAGCTGAATGTCTGTTTGTCTGTATGTCTGTGTGTACGTATGTTCCGAATAGAAAATTCCATTTCTGAACCGATCAGGACCAAACTTAGCACACATACACTTCGGGCCCCGGCGGGTGTCATAGGTTTTTCATGGAAGCGTAAAATCATCAGATTCTTTTTACTTTGGTGCACCCGCCTACGCTTTCCATCTTCCATGCTTTTCCTCCTTTCGCTGCTAATGTGCAGTTCGACTCTTACACATTACAGAGGTATATCAAGATATCCCGATAGCCAAAGAAGAGATCGAAGCAGAACCATATTCAAAAGATAAACAAATAACACACCTACATAAACTGGACGCATCCAAAGTCAAAGAAATCACACCTCAAAAACTTGAGCGAATTATGATTCAACTGCAAGAGAGAGATTGAGCACCAATGGGATAACCAACCTACGTCAGCAACATAACAACAACAATGGACACAGGTATGATATATGAGATGGAACTGCATACTGGCGGCAACAGGAAGGAAAAAAACGTGGGAGTTAGAATCTTAGGCGGATGTACCCAAAGTAGTAAGAATCTGATGATTTTTTGCTGCTATGAACAAAAGCTGCCAGCGGCGGCTAAGGGCTGCGGGCTGCTACGGGCTGCTACGGGCTGCTACGAGCTAGCGGCGGTTGCCGGCGCGATATGAAGGCGCCCTAAGCGCAGATGCGCACAAGCAACTACATCTGAGCCAATCTAATGGTAGCCAATGATCAATCTGCACAAACAGTGCAACATCAATCTGTTCTTCCCTACGTGATTGTTGTTTCGGCTCGGTCTTCTCTCTCTCTCTCTGTTGATTGGCAGCAAAAATACAAATTCCTTGATTATTTTTTTTAGTATGGCGCGCCTTGTTGAATGTGCGGACTAGTGAAGAGTGGAATTTCTTCCTCTGCAATACATTGAGTGTTCACGTGAGCGATAGACAGCTCGATGTGGATATACCGCGTTGTCACCAGGTACCATACATTGTCAAACTATCCAGCTCAACTTGCAACACCTTCAGTACGAGGAATTGATGACATCACCAGCGGCTCATTATGGTCTACGCCGGATCCTTAAAGCATGGCTTGTGAGGAATCCTCAGTATGTGTACTGGCAAGGTTGCGATAGTCTCGCGGCTCCTTTTCTGTTGCTGAATTTCAACCGACCGTGTAAGTAACTGAATATTCTAAGAAGGTAGTTAAAAAATGAGGAAATGCTGGCCATGCGAGATTTTGCTGTCGTGTGCAAGATTACAGCCTGATACCCCTCGCGCCGCCGCCGCCTCTATTTTAGGCAAGGGAGGCGACGTGGTATGTCGGAAGAAAAATATTCATCACGTTTTTGTCGATAAAATTGCTGGGAGGTGTGTGGAACTACAAGGTATAAAAGCGAAAACGCTGCATTGATTCATAAGCGAATTGAGTACATAAATAACCACAACTATTGAAAATCTGCCTCGTTTCTTTTGTTTTTGTAGACGTCATGAAGATGATCGCTCAACTCCTATCGTTTTAGAACAGGTCGCTAAAAATATGAGACATTGCAACAGATTAGGAAAATATCCATAACATTGTAGAAATTGGTTGTTTTCGGTGTAAGTGATCGAAATAATCTTCAAAATGTTCCGAACTTCCAGTTACTTTTTGGAAAAAAATCTTCGGAAGCGTTGCTCAGTCACGCCCCCTTTCGTTTTGTTCATAGTCGTAATGGTGCCTAGACCTTGAGAAACACCACGATTTTTGCGGAGGACATGGCCAACACCACGCCCATTCGCATAGAAAATTGCTGTCGTCTTCCTTTCTCCCGAAAAAAGTTTCTTGGACTGCCACAGGCACAGGAAAAGCCCGCTTCTTCCCCCCCCCCCCTCCCCCAATTCCCTCATTTGGCAGAATTTATTTGCGCCGCTCCTCCCGACGTAAATCTGGATCATCGCTTATCTACACATTATATTTCAGCCATGGCATTAGCGTGCTTCACAGCGTTCATAGAAAAATATCTTAACAAGTTCTTTCTCAAGGACAATTCAGCAATCATTCAAGGTACGGGTTCATCATGATCTCCACTCATACATATATTTGTCGTTGTTGCAGAGCAACTTGCCGTTTTCAATCATCTGCTTGCTTTTGTGGATGCGAAGCTGTACACTCGTTTAGCTTCTATGGATTTCTATCCAGAACTGTTTGCAATTCCATGGTTCCTTACCTGTTTTGCACATGTTCTACCTATACACAAGCTGTTCCATGTTTGGGACCAACTACTGCAACGCGATTCCTCTTTTCCTTTGTTTATCGGTAAAATCAATGCCATAGTGTAGCACCTTTAATCTTGGTCAACCTTCTGTACTTACATCTTGTTTCGCAGGACTGGCCATACTCCATCAACTACGCCAAACTCTCATTGATGCTTCTTTCAACGATGCAATACTTCTATTTTCCGATCTTCCTGGTATCCAGTTATGGTCCATCTTCATTTACGGTGTAACGTACGCATGCTACAGATCTATCAATGGAGGTTGTAGTAGCGGAATCTATTGCGTATTATGATCGTGTCCCACCCAGCTGTGCGTTTCGATCACACGCAAATAGTACAGGTATCTTCGTTTTCTCATCAACATACTGTTGCGAAATGCCGAGGCGTGACGCCACTCCTCTTCAAATTTACATGATTTTCAAATCAACAAACGTATTTGATTCTTTGAAGGATTTCATAGTGGCTAACTAGGCGCTGCTTCAGGGGAAGGGTGGCGACTTAATTGGAGTGTGGTGGCTCCTGTATGTTGTACAGAACACAAATAAGCTGTAGAGCTTTATTGAACAGACGACGTACACCCACACATTCGTGCAAGGTAGAATGCTGCAGATTATAGGCGTGGCGAAGTGATATCACAAACATCTGGGCTATAATATACTCGTGTCATTGCAAGTCATGCCTACGGCATGACCTTTACGGCTCTCAGGAAAGACTATTGATATGGCTATGAGAAGTGCGGACAATGTCAGCAAAAGAAACGAGAATGGCGAAATGAGTGATACATGAACATACGCAACTGATTGTCATTGAGAATACTGAGCCAGTACTTATCAGGATACCATAATGGACGTAGTTGCGGAACCTGGTAATTGGGAGCAGGATCCTGGTTGAGGTCGTGACAGCTGGCATTAGATCGCGAATAAGTAAGCGGTAGTAAGGCAGGACGCATCGCATAAACATTTCAGTAAATCCACTTTCATCAGGGTCAAAAGTGAGTAAAGGGATTCAGACTGGTGTGTTTTCCTACTCTTCTTGCCCCGTCGCGCGTTTCGATACAAGCGCCTGATGATCTCATCTTTGTCTCTCCATGGAAAGACAAAGATAAAATTCATTTACTGGAGCTTCAGGATATGAAGCTTTCTTTTAAGCTGTGATTCCCTTCCCGGCGGGGATGTGCGTGCGGCTTAGGCCCCTATGCACGTGTATCCCCGCTGGAGAGGGGAGTGGATCTGAGGGATGCGTCATATCTCGATACTTTAGGTATCTTTCTTCTTCCTTCTCTATCTCGCTTATAAAGGTTCTCATATCCTTATACCTGCGCATAATGGATGCCAGGTTACCAAGGCAAAGGCTGCAAAATTGTACGGGGGATATACTACGACACTGCTAAACATGTTTATAAATAGAAATAAGTAAAATCTCAAGATATTTTTCGATGAACCACTGCTCGCGAGCCAGGGATTATCGAAAAATTCACAATCTTCAGATTCCATTTCTCCTGTCGAAAACATGCTTACCAGTGCCGTAATATAACCTCACTACAAGTTTGCAGGGTTTTCATTAACTTCTCAGGAGGATAAATCACTTTGAAAATGAGAGGTGATCCTCTGGGGAATACACAAAATGGCAAACCTATCTTATATGGAAGTAACCTGGCATCGATTATGCGCAGATATAAGTGCATGAGAACCTTCATAAGCAAGAGAGAGATAGAAGAAGAAAGATACGTAGAGTAGCAAGATATGACGCATCCCCTCTCAGATCCCGTTGCCTCCCCAACGGGGATGTACGTGCGTGCATACGGGCCTTAGACTGATTGAAGTAGTCTTCTCGTCGATCTTGCTTTAACTTGTAATAGGGAAAGGAGAATATCTAAGTTTTCGAAACATCTTTTTTGTAGCTTCCTATCAATTTCTAGAGTGAACTTGAGCTCAAAATTCTAGAAGTCAAATTTTCCAAGCAGGTTTGCTAGTGCTTCTAAGTAAGATGAGATTGCCTCTTTAAAGAATGTTAAAAGCATTTTTGCAAAAATGCAGCTATCAAAAAATATGGCTGCTTTTGAGCCTCGCTACTTGAGCGAAAATAGGCGGCGGATTTTGGGCGTTAGGTCCCGACGTTAGAATAGTTAACTTTGGGCAGTCGCTGGATCGAAGCACTTATCGGTCTTACATAGCCGATACATCATAAATATGCTGGCTTCGTGGCTTGAAGGCCAGGTGGAAATAGCGCCTTTTGTGGAGTAGTGTAGCTGTCAAAATAGACAGTGTCAGCTTTACTGAGTCAGTCAACACGTTCACGTTTCACATGGGTGTGATGATAGAATGCTGCAGATAAAGGGCGGGAGGAATGTAACATAACAGGCAACTGGACATTAGAGGCACATATCGCTACGGTCATGATTGAAAGCCTTACGGTTACCGTTCAAGTACATGAGAAGTGATATCGGTATGAAGCTGCCGACTTGTTCGGCAAGATTTTGAGATATAATTTGATTATCCAAAAGCATAAACAAGTTACTACAATCTTATAACCCATGTAGGCTGTTCGTAAATTGCCGCCCATTCTTGACCCCCCCCCCCCTCCCCCCGTCCATCACTGGCATAAGTCCAGATTTTAGGAAAGGCATAGAATTCTTTTCTGAATAGAAGGGGCGCACTGATAACCTCAAGCCCCTTGGGGTGTATGTCAAGAGGCGCGATTTTTATTGCCAGCTGGACACCAAATAGCACATAATAAGTGTTTTACAACTTTCTAAAAGTGTATGAAATTTAGAAAAAGATATATTGGATAGTTGCATGGGTTGCTCTATACTCATAAAAAATCCAAAACAGCAATTTCTAAGGTCAAAAACACATGAAAATGCATGTAAGAACAAATTTGTAGATATTTCAGTCCGTTTTGAAGCAAAACCCATGAAACTCAGCAAGTGGTAACCTTAGACAGGTAGTAAGCCAACGCATTTTACCTGGTAATTTTTAGAGACTCGCATAGCACTAAACTGGAGTTTTGAGCTGGTGACAGCCGGAGAAATCGCGCCTCTTGACCGTCTCCCAGCCCCTTGCCACTCCTCCGCCCCCCCCCCCCCCACCCTCTCCCTCGCCCCTCCTCAGACAATCGCTGGGGGCAGGCGGGCACCGGAAAAATAGATTGCTGATTTCTCGCACCCCGCTCGCGGATTTTTTGGAAAGCAATCAGGACTTTTCGGAAGACCGCTCGCTGAGTTAGCGGATTTTTGAGAAACCGCCTGTTGAATTTTTTTTCTCTCTTATCTTTTGCAGATATATTGCTGAATCTCTGAGGAATCGAGAATTCAGCAAGCGGTCTTTCGAAAGGTCCTGATTGCTTTCCAAAAAAATCCGCGAGCGGGGTGCGAGAGATCAGCAATCTATTTTTCCGGTGCCCGCCTGCCCCCGGCGATTGTCTGAGTCTTCGGCCCACCTGCTCAGATTATCGCCGGGGGCAGGCGGTCCGCAAACTCGCGCTTTTCTGCAAGCGGTCAGCAGAATTTTGGGGCGTGGCCAAACCTTCAGCGAGCGGTACTTCCTTTACTGTCTAATACTCTGCCAGCGGGCAGCAACACAGAATTTTCTGCAGGCGCTCGTCAGATAATCTCTTTCAGCAAAAGCTGGCCGAATTTTCAGCAGGCGCTTGGACCCTTTTTACGCAATTTCGGGCGTACGCCGAGAAAAGATGAGACTCTATGTGGCAGAGGTGTCACCGTTGGTTTAATTACTCAAGTTTGAGGTACTTTCTCTCAGCGGAAAGTAGTAATTTTCGGGGGCTGCGCGGTTCTCCACAAAGGATCGCGCGGCCCCCGAAAATTTTGCATATTCTCGCGGAAAGTCCGCGAGAATGCGGCCACTGCGCCGCAGCTAATCTATAAGGAAACCGCGATTGTTCTCCCAACATTCCTCCAAAATTCGCTAAAACTCCTTCAAATATCTGCAAGCGGACCGCAAGAAATCAGCGAACTATTTTTCCGCTTCCCGCCCGCCCATAAATCGCATGGCCGCCTGCCCCCGACGATTATTTCTGAGTTAGATAATCGTCGGGGCAGGCGGCCATGCGATTTATGGGCGGGCGGGCACCGGAAAAATAGTTCGCTGATTTCTTGCGGTCCGCTTGCAGATATTTGGGAGAATTTTAGCGAAATTTTTGATGAATGCTTGGAGAATAATCGCGGTTTCATTATAGATTAGCTGCGGCGCAGTGACCGCATTCTCGCGGACTTTCCGCGCGAATATGCAAAATTTTCGAGGGCCGAACGGTCCTTTGTGGAACCGCGCATCCCCAGGTACTTTCCGCTGAGAGAAAGTACCTCAAACTTGAGTAATTAAACCATCGATGACACCTCTGCCATGTAGAGTCTCACCTTTGCTCGGCGTATGCCCGAAACTGCTTAAAACCGTCCGAGCGCCAGCTAAAAATTTGACCAGCGCTCGCTGAAAGAGATTATTTGACGAACGCCTGTAGAAAATTCTGTGTCGCTGCCCGCTGGCACAACATTAGCCAGTAAAGGAAGTAACGCTCGTTGAAGGTTTGACCATGCCCCAAAATCCTGCTGACCGCTTGCAAAAAAGCGCGAGTTTTTGGACCGCCTGCCCCCGGCGATTATCTGAGAAGTGGGCGTTTACGTCAAACTAACGAAAAACACAGATTCTCGATGCTGTTATTTGTGAAGTCTGTCTTAACCCGGAACTGGCAAAACATTTTGCGTGTACGCACTGCTTTGCTTGCGCCACATTTACGATTCTATTGATAGTCACATTAGGGCCTGTCTGTTCTTCTCCTTATTACTTCGATTCCTTTGACAATGCTTTGTTCGCACATGCTGCGCAAGGCGGTTGCGCTGCGAGCGCGCGATTTTGAGCTACAGTAAGTTTCATTCAGTTTAGACGAGATTGTGGCGGGCATCTGCCTCACAACGGTTTGCGCCATTTCGCAGCTACAGTGTCATATCGTACTAAGATCCCATATGTGCACCTACTCATTTTCCTCAACCTCTAGTTGGCAATATGCTGTGCGCTCGCAAAGCCTCCAGCGAAGCGAACGCGCTGCTTCGTATGAATTGCTTCGGCCTGCTTCGGGTTAAAACACATCGTACTTTTTGGCCTGATCCCGATTGGGATAGACTGTGTCTGCTTCGCAGTAGTAATGAAGGAGGCCTTTCTGTGTTGGGCCTCTCTATCGTTGAACTTTATCCTGCACTTCACATTCATATTTTGAGCAACACAAAGCTTTGAGAAGCATTTGAAATCCAAAAATACCATGGTTTATCATAATGTCAACACTGAAATGTTTCAATCTCTGACGAAGGCGCGTAATCCAGTTGCGAAGAGTTTGCACACAAAGCGACTAAGCACCTTTTTAGCACTATTAATGCTTGCGTACACCTCGCCTCGAATATAGAGTCGTAACTCGAGTAAGGGTGCCTTCATACCGCCCGGTATCGGCCGCTAGTAGCTCATAGCAGCCTGTAGCATACGCTGGCCGCTTTTGTTGTCGTAGAGCGCAATTTTTTATACGCTGCTTCATCCGCCAACGCTTTTCAGCTTCCAAGCTTTTTCCTTCCTATGCCGCCAGTATGCAGTTCGATCTCATTCATCATACCTGTGTCCATTGTTGTCATTATCTTGCCGTAGATTGGTTATCCTATTGGTGCTCAATTTCCCTATTACAATTGAACCATAGTTCGCCGAAGTTTCTTCGCGGTGTGATTCTTTCTGACTTCGGATGCGTCCCGCTTCTCTAGTTCTCCATTTGTTTGTTTTTTTTAGGTATGGTTCTGCTTCAGTCTTTTCCTTGTCTATCGGTGCTAATCTAAATTGCATTCTATTTCGCAAGTTCGCGGATGCAGCAGCGTAGTAAAAAAAACTGATAATTTTGCGCTCTTATCATAACAAGAGCGGCCAGCGGTAGCTACGTGCTGCTGGGAGGCTGCTGCGGGTTGCTAGCGGTGGCTGCCGGCTTGATATGAAGACACCCTAAAAAGATGGGTTACGGCCAGAGTTAAGCAAGTGGTCAGGCACAAGTCGTTCCCCCCCCCTCCCCCCGAAGCCCCCGAACAACCCCTTCTCCTCTTCATTTGCGCGAAAATTCAGAGTGTGACATTCTCGAGGACATCACTCAATTCTAAAGAGTTTGAATTTTTTAAGTCTGTACGCCGATTTTCTGTGACTGCACCTTACATCCACACGTAATTTGACGGCTGGTTTTGATCTGAATGGGCCTATCAGAAAGGTCATAATTCCCCTAGAGATGGGGTTTTTGTATTCAAATTTCCACTGTAGCAAAAAGAAGCTATGAGCTCAATATTCATTTCAGGAACGGAGCGATTTTTGGATTTTGAAGATATGCTAAGGGGATCAGGCGCAAGGCTACAAAAGCTCAAGCAGCCTGATCTTTTGAGGGGTTGTGCCTGACCCGATTGGCTTTATCAACGAAAAATCTTCTCCACTTTAGTCTCATGTGAATCGCCAGCACAAACCTTGAAGATTCTACAGTAGGTCCACTATCTGAAAGTGATATGAGATCTAAGTACGAAAAAGCCGACTTCTTCCACTTTCGTCACCAAGTCAATCATGTTTGAAGACCACGTTTTTTATACGTTAGAAACACTAGAAAATGTAATAGGTAATGGCTTGTAGGGCTCGATGGGGTGATTGGCATGCTGATTGAGGAAATCATACCCAATATTTACAAATCAAACTTATTAGGTGAACTTAGTGTATGTGGAGTGTGAGAGGTGAAGGAGTGAAGTTTGGCTGAGACTTCATTAGTGGAGTTAATCACTATGCTGTTTACGACAGTCATTCCTTCTTTGGTGGATTTGTGATATTTACCGTGCTAGCGCTTTTCGTCTTCACCTTACTCCTTCGTAGTAATTTCTCAATTTTCTTGAACAGAACGGCTTTTGGTTGCGGTACTCCCCTTTCTCTCCTGTCCCTCCAATACGACCCTCCCCCTCAGATTGGGCACGCCTGATCCCACACTCAATCCTGGTTACGGTATACTAATCTCAACGAAATCGTGGATTTAGGAATTATTGATTCAAAATGATTTCACGAAGTCGGACGGTGATTTTTAGGAAGTCAGTGATGCAGGGACTGGAGACCATTGAAATCACTTTCATTGAAAATTTTTTTATTTCTCCGCGACAGAAAAATGGCGGTGGAACCGTCGCATCCCATGCTTCTGTTTTTAGGTAAAAATTTTTATTTCTGATCAACTTTATCAAATCTGATCTATTGTCGCTATAAAAACGACTAGGAATGTAAAAATTGAATTTTTGTTGGGTTTTGAGCATGTGACGGTCTCAGCAACTTCTTCGTCGGCGTTTCAGTGAAGACCGTTTTATTGGAAGTAAATCTAGACTATGGTTTTCTTGATCCTTATAACTGGCTTTCCAAAAAACATCGTTCGATCTCGATTATAATTTATATAAAAAATAATTTATATAAAAAATATTTTATTAAATTGAACCGAAAGTTCTGTCGCACCATTTTCAACAAGTCATAACTTCTTTCGCTCACGACGATTTTGCGAAATTCAAATTTTATCAGAAAGCGTAAAGCATGTAGTTTCCAATGAATCCCTGGGGAGTTCCCGACATGCTCAGATGGCAGAGATATAAATGAAAGAACGAGATCATCCGAAATTCGGAATTCTTAAGCAATAATTCTAGAAATTCAGAAACAGTGCGATAAAATCCAGAAAAACCATTATCCTAATTTTTCTTATATTTGATTACTATCTGAGTCAAGTTTGTGCTGATCGAGGTCTTCTTTCAGAAGTTATGAGTTTTTGAAAAATAATGCCAAAAAATCAATTTCCTAAAAATTCTTAAGAAATGGATTTTTTGGCATTTTTTTTCAAAAATTCATAACTTCTGAAAGAAGACCTCGATCAGCACAAACTTGACTCAGTTAGTAATCAAATGTAAGAGAAATTAGAATAATGGCTTTTCTGGATTTTATCGCACTGTTTCTGAATTTCTAGAATTCTTGCTTAAAAATTCCGAATTTCGGATGATCTCGTTCTTTCATTTTTATCTCTGCAACCTGAGCATGTTGAAAAGCGCCCAGGAGACCTTTGGAAACCACATGCTTTACTCTTTCTGATAAAATTTGAATTGCGCAAAAACACCGTGAGGGAAAGAAGTTATGACTTTTTGAAAATGGTGCGACAGAACTTTCGGTTCAACCTAATATATGAAATATAAAATAAAAATAAAATAATAAAATAAATTAAATAATAAATAAAATAACCATACTGCGGTAAGAAGCTTTTATGGAAAACCCTCCTTAGAGAAAGATAAATATAATCATAAATCATTGCGTGATGTATGCCTCTTTCCAAAATGCGTACGTGATGAATTTCAGAAAGCGAAGAAGGGCCTCCCAGAGGACTGCCCTGCAGTCTACAACGTGTGTCTTACAAGGAGATGAAGAAATGGCACTGTCCGCGTATTTCCAAAGAAGAATTTGCGTGGAGAGTTGAAGATCAGCTTATTGTTGCGATTGATATACGATCACAAGCCGAGTAAGTCAGAAACAGAGATGATCAGTTTTATAGTCAAAAGGGTTCTGATGTCAAAGTCTTCCTCGTATTCTTGATTTACTTTCATGGTGGCCACTTGATCTCCCATGAATGATGATGTATGCACTTTGAGAGTGTCTGTTTCATCGGAATTTCACAAATGAGGGTGACTCCTTCTTATCTGACCTAATATAGGATATTTCACCACAGCTTTTTTCACCTACACTGTCTCGAATTTTCGAAAATCCGCATATAAATGTTCGAACTACACCTAATGGTTTAATCCGCTTTTCGAAATGGCCACCATCACTTAATCCCTTTGCAAGAAGTATTGTGTTATCGCAGGTAGAGCGCGTATTCAAACCGGTTAAAAGTTGCCGTAGTGCAGATATCAATACTTCAGCTAACTAAAGTCTACATTAACCACCTTAATACATTTGGATGGATCAAAAATACAATTGGATGGATCAAACCATGACAAGTTTCCGGACATTGATAAAGAAGTATCGTACACAATTTAGAGTGGTATTCGATTTGCTCTAAAGTACCCTTTGCTTCAACTAGATCGGCGGCTGGAAGGCGGGGCTCTGCGACCTAGTTAAGGCTAGAAGATCAGAGCATGTTTGCGAGGGAGGCGCAGACTGCGTCGCGGACGAGAGCAGTCGCCTCCTAGGTCATGAAGCTCCGCCTTTTAGCAGCCGATCTGGTTGAAGAAAAGGGTATAAATAAAATGTTAAGATTCTTACTACTTACCTTTTATTTCACTCCTTCCTTTGAAGTTCTTCAATGCTTAGGTTCGGACGGGGTTGCGTTCTTCGTTCTATAAATTATCCTAATGTCAACGACCAGACTTTGCTCAATATTGCCGAGCCACTGAGAGTTGCTCAACGAAATCAGCATCCGATATGCATAGTGGGTGGAAAAGATTTGGAAGTGACTCGAAAGGTACTATTTGCTTATTTTCAAAAGGATCATTTTGAATTTTGCTGTTTTACAGTTCACCGGTGATCTGGTAAGCATGGGCATTGATGGTGTTTGTGTGCTTGATGGAGGCTTTGAGGCAATTCGTCATGATACGTCACTTATCTATGTACCTCATTAACTATTGGTGCTTGTAAAGAATATTGTCGTCTCACATCTTCACCTCGAAAACTTGATCTTCGATCAATTTCCCTACGCATGATGGTTCCTGCTTGTTTGTATTGAAACAATTTCCAATACATATATATGAAAATCGAATTCGGCAAGAAAAACGCTACGGATTGACATGGTTTTTCTGCGGCCTGCAGGGCAGTGTTCGAGTTGCCCACTCAGTATTGACGAAAAAGGCTCTAAGCCTGCACAGCAGTGACAGAAGGTCTCTTTTGATTGGCATATCCACGCGGAGCTGTACAGTTCTAGTAGATTTTCCGCTTAATTTAGTCTGCTTGCGGTGCCAAAATGCGGTAGAATTAGCGCGTACACAAACAGTATAGTCGATTCATCATTCGCAGAGATTGGACGCTGTTGCGTCCGACTGAGAGAGTCGTGCATGGGAGAGGAGCAGACGGCAAGAGGGATGAAACAGCGCTCGATCAGGAGACGCCAGTGGCGGACCGAGGGAGGGGGGAGGGCGGGGGGGGGGGGGTGGCGCCCCTCGCGAAATCCTTGAAAATTACTTATATGGGTTCTAAAAATGCGCAAGTGACTTGTTTATTCTTTTAAACAATTAGAATAATTTTTTAAAAATTCAAATTAGCCTGTGGCGTCAGCCACGCCCCCTTTTTCCAGATATTAGGGGTTGGGGATCCGAAAAAATTTTGAGAAGCACCCAAAAAATTTTTCGGAGGACGTGGCTAACGCCACGCACCTTCATTGAAAATTTTTTTTGCCGCGCCCCCTCCTCCCGGACGGATATCCTGGGACCACCACTGGGATACGCCTAGTCTTTGCGTATATACTTATGGCCCTGGACATACCTCGCAACTCCATTGACGCGATTTGGCAATGCTCCAATGATGTTTTGCTCTAGCTAAGCCAAGATGGTATGATCTTTTCATTGATGGCTGACGTTTCGGCGTCCTCGCCTTCGTCGAAGCCGTAATCCAGCGGTTTTTGGAGCCAAGACTACCCGTATGGGAAGGAGTCATTTTGATGAAATTTTTGAGACAAATACTCCACTTGTTCAAAACTTATCGTAAGGGGTTTTTTAATGTACGGAAGATAGGGTATTTTATTGACCTAAGAAAGTTGTATACGATTCGCATGCGTATAGCGGGCGTGTGAAAAACTTGTTGAACCTCCATTTCAAAGCATTAGTTTTTGTACTCTCTAGCTATCAAAAACGCCATGTGCATACGTTGGCAAACGTCGGCAAAGCTCCAACCTGTGGGGAATGGACGATACATGCTGTGCATTTGGAGTCTGCCAGTACTGAGTTTGAAGACATCTGGCAAGTTGCCAGATCGCGTGGCGACTGAAATCGCGTGAGGTATTGCCCGCGGGCTACGATGCCGGTCACTTGCGCGCGATACCGACACTACTGACGCAAGTATTTGTCTATGCGCAAGCACCTTTATTGAGCGGTTTAAGATTGTAACTAAAACAAGTTCCGAGTTTTATGGGTTTTTCACGTAAAGCGTTCTCTGCTTTTACTGCCATCAGTAGCACCTAGCTAGATCAGTCAGTGCTAATCACCGTACAATACAAGTCTTGCGCAAAAATATCTCAGTTTATGGCTTTGGTTGTGATTCACTATAGTTCTCAATAGAAAATTTCTCGAAGTAAAAACCACGTATCAACAACAATATCGATGTTGAGGTCTAACTCTGCAATTTCTTCTTGTTTTTCAGAATGTTAAATAAGGAAAAGAACGTATTCATTCTGAGGCTGAATAACTCATAAAAACAAATATTATCTGAAGAAGCAAATTCGATTTTTCTAGGCTGGTAACCAATAATTCTAGACGAGATAGTACGATATGGAGACCAAATGCCACAAATCTTTTGGTTTTTGATGAATAGCAGATTCTATGGAGTCAAGTGTCGATCATATTGTGCCGATGTCATCGGCACCTCTTTTTGTAGCCTATCGTTCTGTTGCCAGAGTACCGTAATGGTCATGCATAAGCCGCAGCATGACCTGGTGCCATATTGGTGTCTTTATTGCCCAGACGTTGTCGAGCAATTTTTCCACGCTTATGTTAGCATTCTACCACTGCTCCAATGCGGGCAAGTTGTCTGACTCAATAAATCTGCCAGGCTTGTGTATTGTCCACCTGCGAATATTCCTACCAAGGGACAACTACGTCTGTGGCAACGTTAACAAGCGTTCGAAGGCCAAAGTGCATTGGGTAGTTTGATAATAGATGAATTGATCAGAATTCTTTTTTCTTCAATGTTCATATTGCGAGAAAACATTTTCGTGACCAAACTTGGAATAAAAGAGATTTTACCGCACAAAGAGTCATTTCGCAGCGCATATGGATAGAACTGTCGAGAAAGATCTCCAACAACAAAGGACGTTCGCCTGAGATAATGGTAGACTAGACGAAAACAACACGAGTGTGCTGATCCTGTATGGGGGAAGGTATGAAAGGAGAAAGTAACACGTTTTGAGTATTTTTCTGTGTCTATAGTAAGTTTCAACTCAGTTTAGGCGGAAATTGGACTGGCGTCTTCATTCTAATCTATCTTGCTGAGCCAGCGGCAATGCGAACGCGCTGCTCCACTTGGGATGTTTCGCCTACTCCGGGTCGAAAAAGACTATAACTGCTTTATGCATCTTCTTACCCATCTCCAGCTGAGAAAAGTACTCATTTCAATCTATACCAGTAAAGCTATTAGGCACAACAACAAATCGTACTGGAGTAAGAAACATTCATGCATCTCAACAGCTCTTCAAACGTTAGTGCTGGCAGCAAGCGAGTGCTAGGTCCGCACGCAGCGATGGCGCGCACGAGCGCCTCGCACCGACTAAGTAGATTTAGGGCCGCATGCACTAACCTCCCCGCTGGGGAGGGAATCGCAGTTTAGAAGAAAGCTATACATCTCGAAACTCCAGATACCTGGGTTTCGCGTTGTGTACCTATCCGTAAATATTCCTACTACCCTTCACTATGAACATGTTGAAGAGGAGCGAGAAGCTGTACGAACCGCATTTTCCAGCTTTTGTATGATCCCTGATGATCCCCGGCGCTTTCCTGCAAAGTCATTTTTCTTTCTCCGAAGTTAACGAAAACCTTCCAAAGTTGTACTGAACATCTAACACAACAGTGCTAAGCATATTGCTGATGAGAACAAATGAGTTTTTGAAAAGTCAAATTTTTCGGTAAGCCTCAAATTTCGGCCTGTGGATCATCGGAAATTTCATGACTTCAAAACATCATTTGTTCTTATCAGCAACATGCTTAGCACTGTCGGGTTAGATAATCTGCACAACTTTGGAAGTTTTTCGTTAACTTCGGAGAAAGAAAAATGACTTTAAAGAAAAGCGCCGGCGATCATCAGGGATCATACAAAAGCTGGAAAATGCGGTTCGTACAGCTTCTCGCTCCTCTTCAACATGTTCATAGCGAAGGGTAGTAGGAATACTTACGGATAGGTACACAACGTGAAATCCAGGTATCTGGAGTTTCGAAATATAAAGCTTTCTTTTAAGCTGCGATCCCCTCCCCGCGGGGATGTTAGTGCATGCGGCCCTTAGATGGCGCTCTGGGGGGGGGGGGGGGGAGGGAGGGGAGGGGGCAGGCGTTATGAAGCAAAGCAGCGCCGCATTCCCCTGCGGTATATCCTGAGGGCCATTTGCGTTGCGTCGCCTTTAAGTGCAGCGGCAGGAGTACGCCGCTCTTGACAGTGAACTGAGCCATTCCCTAATGCTACGCCTTGAGCAGACGTCCAAACTGCACGAATGCAGTAAAGGTATTTAAAATCGGAAAATAGATGGATTTTACGGAAGCAAAGGCTGAATTTCGGATGAGAATAAAAGACTGATTTTGAGTGTAACACGAGAATTAGTAGAGAAAAGGGACGATTTCGTTACTGACTTTCCAAGCTTTTACTTTCTCTTGGGTGGTACTTTCAAACACTTCTTCCTCAGAATCTATTTTTTATCCTCAAAATTCGTTTAATTTCCGCATTTTGGTTTTTTACAGAAAAAGAATTTCGAGAATTTAATCTGCTCGGTAACGTATCTAGCTCCTCTGTGTTTGCAATTAGGAGTAACACAACGCAAAAGGCCCTCAGGATATACCGCAGGCGAATGCGGGTTAGCTTTGCTCCATAACGCCACGCCGCCGGCGCTCGGTATCCAGCCATAATTCACGAATAAATACAATTTTCGCCTACGGTAGATTAGTAAGTGTGCAGTAATCAAGCACAGTTTTTACTACCATAAAATTTAAAAGGTTTTGCGAAATCTTGCTGTCTACCGTGCACATACCGTCCCAAACAGGTATTTCTATTAGGTTGGCTAATAAATAATTTCGGTCGGTTGCTGCTCCTGCATATGCTGCAGACAATTTTTTGTCCAGTATTCGGTACGTTGGAAAAAGCACTTCATTGAGAATTGGCACATAGAATCCATTCGAGTAGAATTTATTCTGCTATGTAAGAGTTCGCAAGGAAGTGACAAACTCCAGTTTTCTCACCATGGACAAGTAAATCTGATTATTTTGGTTAAAGAATTTTGAAACGGCAGATCACAATCTTAGTTGGTAGTCGTTAAGCAGGGGAAACTTGTCTGTACCCAAATACCATATTCTCAGATAATCGCCGGGGGCAGGCGGTCCGCAAACTCGCGCTTTTCTGCAAGCGGTCAGCAGAATTTTGGGGCGTGGCCAAATCTTCAGCGAGCGGTACTTCCTTTACTGTCTAATATTCTGCCAGCGGGCAGCAACACAATTTTCTGCAGGCGCTCGTCAGATAATCTCTTTCAGCAGGCGCTCGGACCCTTTTTACGCAATTTCGGGCGTACGCCGAGAAAAGATGAGATTCTATGTGGCAGAGGTGTCACCGTTGGTTTAATTACTCAAGTTTGAGGTACTTTCTCTCAGCGGAAAGTACCTGGAGGCTGCGCGGTTCTCCACAAAGGACCGTGCGGCCCCCGAAAATTTTGCATATTCTCGCGGAAAGTGCGCGAGAATGCGGCCACTGCGCCACAGCTAATCTATAAGGAACCCGCGATTGTTCTCCAAACATTCGTCCAAAATTCGCTAAGATTCCT